CCAAATAGTAATTTTTATTATTAAATTTTCCTTTTTCATTTTTTCCGGGAAGGTGAACAATTTCAGCAGGATCTATCTATACATGTATAGCATCTTCTGCTGCCTTTAGCACTCTGCAGGAAGTTTCTAAAATAAGTAGCACGCTTGCAGAAGGTAGCAGGGCAATATAAAGCAAAAAAATTAAGTAAATAATTAGTGGTTTGAAAGTCCACCGTTTTCGAGAAAAACCTATTTAAAAGTACAGCCAAGGGCCAGTCCGTCCCTGACAGGATTACATAGCAGCTACTTTGACAATCTTATAAGACGAATATTTTTTTTTAACGGAATAACCTATATTAATGATATCGTTCAATACGAAATTAAAAGCTCATTCCACTGATATAAGGTATTAAATATTTATCTCTAACGTTATTCCAGAAAAGATCGATTATTTTACATTTAAATTGTCCAAACCGCAGGTTTTTAGCTTTTATGGTTTAGAAGTCTCATTTAAGGAGCTGAAATCGTGTTTTTTTTTTCAAAAACCTTAAAAGGGGCACAAAGGGATATTCCATGAATTGAATCGATATTGTTTTCCGGGTTCAATGTCATAATCTATGAAATTAATTCTCTTATTACAATGTGTAAAAGATTAGAAACAAAATGGGGTTGTAAATATTTTGATATAAAATGGTTGATGTTGATTTTACATCAATAAACTTATTTGCAACACTATTTCGACTCTGATCTTTCACGCTAAACAAAGTATTTTGGGGTCAGTGTCTTTTTGCAATTAAAACGGGTGACAAAAGCAAATAAGGAAGCATATGGAAGAATTATTTGCTACTGAACTGAAGAAAGTATAACATAAAGATAGAAAAACTATATCTCAATCATTTCAAACAGAAAAATACCAATCGTACTCAATCTTGCAGCTACTGATAAAGCGCAAACGCCACTATTGCTCTAGAAAAACTCCAACATTAAAAGAATGAGCAAATGCCTGCAAGGTTTTCATAAAAAATATTTTTTGTTTAAGAAAATGTAGAAAATTACTTAAATAGGTGCTACAANCCAAACAAAATTGAGACGACCACCACTGGTTGAACGTACATGTAATTTATTTGGTACAGACTCTAAAATTTGAATAATTATCTACCTATTGTATTGCAAAATATTTAATAGTTAACCAATTAACCAAACATTAATTAATTTACAAACTGCCTAGATAAAAGAAATAAAAATAAATTTCTTTTCGAAAGACTATAAAATTTAAAAAGCTATGGAGAGCCGATCTTCACATTTATTTTGATGAAGAAAGGAAGACACACTAAAACAAAAAAAAACCTGATCTTCTCAGATAATAATTGCCATCCTTAATAACTTTCTAAGTAAGAATAAAATATTCTTAAATCATCTCTTTAAACTTTGCAATATGTTACCAGTAATAGCAGATCGAAACATTATGGCGGCTAACGCCCGCCATATTTATAATTCCGTGACGTCTGCATTATGAACTCGAGTCTATTCGTCCATTTTTGCTTTCATTATGCATAGATATGTGGAAAAGTAAATACTTTTCTCTTTCGGAAAAGAAGATTATTACAAGTCCAGGATTATTTATTACTAGATTATATAAACTAGATTATAACGACCGTTAATAAAATTTAGAGAAATCTTCCTACACTTCTTTTTTCCTTTAGACTTTAGAAAATTACTATGTACATGTCGTGTCCTAGATTCACATTGTTACACCACATAAACGCGTTATTAAATATTTTAACAATTTTTAGATTCACAATTCCTTTTTTCCTTGTACCATTTTCATAAAATGCTTAAAAATTTAAACCTTTGTAATTTGTTATGATAAATTACTAGGTAATGATGTTAATAAATATTGTGCAAATTGTAAATGTTTAATTATATTAATAAAAGCACTATAACAAATTATATTATTATGTATTATTTAGGTCGCTGTGAATGTCTGCTTTCAAATTTTCTTTTTAAAAGGATTATTATACTTAGTTAATATTATTCAAGATTGTATTTGTTTGTTCATTGCGTTTAGAAATACTTAACGTAATTACGTATGTAACGTTTATTATACGTATTTTACAGCCTCATTGTTATTAACCATATATCCGTTTGTAGAAATGTAAGTGCCTGATTGCGACAATTTTAAAGGTGTTTAAATATTAAATATGTTCATTGAGTGTGTTTACTGGAAACCAGAAGCAATATGTGTGTGATTATTAGTAACTCATTACCTCTCTTTCGGCCCACATTACTAACAGAGTCATGTAAATAAGACCTTGGATAACTGGGAGTTGCAGTACAAGTATTCGAAGTTGTCTTACTCTATTTCTGAAACACAAATGAAATGTACTTCATAATTTTTATGCAGTTAGCGGTTTAGATGTTAATCACATTTACGATACAAAATGTCACAGAAAATTTATTCAGAAGACACCCAGCCGTCCGTACGACAGAAGACACCCAGTCGTAAGGACGGCTGGGTGTCTTCTGAAGATTTCCCCTCTTCCACGAAAACATAAAAAATTTACGAGACGGGGAAACAGAGGATTATAAACGTGGTAGTAACCATACCTAAAACGAAAAGGCGCGGGTAGGTGCGAAACATTTAGAACAATTAGCTTCCCATGCGTCAAAAATCTTATCTAGAATTGTACAGACGAGAATGGAAAGAAGGGCGAAAGAACTATTAGAGCAAGATTAATGTGGGTTTAGAAGAAATAGAGAAACGCGGGAGGCCATTCTAGCTTTACGGGCAACAATAGAGAAAACGATAGAAAAAAGAAAGAGGGCGTACATGGGATTCGTAGATTTAATGTTAAATGGGACAAGATGTTAAATATAATTAAAAATGTAGGGATGAATTGCAAATACAGAATAGTGATACTTAGTTTGTATAAAGAGCAACAGGTAGTTATAGATATGGGACTACAACGTAGAGAAGTAAATATTAGGAAGGGAGTCCGAGAAATTTGGAGGATGGACGATCACGATACAGATGGAAACTGGAAAAAAACAGAAGTGTATAGAAATAGCTGGAAAGTTTAACTAAAGACATTGATAAGCAAAAAAAAACTTTAAATTCGCACAGGAATACGAGGAAATGTGGAAAGAAGGGGAAGAAAACCAAATTATTTAAAAACGAAAGAACAATGAGAAAAAACGGATTAGTTTTAATAGCAAGATTCAGAGTGGGATATAGGATGGCACGGTACTGAGAAGAAAATATGCATGCTGTGTAAACTGGAGTAAGAAATATTCGAACATATTTTTGAGATATGTGTAATAACAGGAAATGGTATAAAAAAGATGGGAAATTCAAATAGAAGGAAAGGATCATTTAAAAAGGATGAGAGAAATATTACGAATAGTACGTAAATGCACATTTTATGTAAACTATTTCTTTTTGTTCGAAGCCACCAAAAAGCTCGCTGTAAATATTAGCTGACAAAGGCGTAAAGCTTCCCCAACAGCTATTTTATATTTAGCGGCTAACTTCATTATGCCTTGCCTTCTTCAAATAATATCTCTAACTGCATAAGAAGCTCTTAGAACTTAGACATGTGATCAAGTGGATACAGTTTTTCAGTATTTTCATTTCTAATATTCTTTTTGTCTAAAAGGTTTGTGACAATGTTTGATACTGAATTGCGACGTTCTATAACCATTTTGAGTTTATCTCGTAAAAATTTTGTAATTTTATCTTAAACACTTAAAAATTCTTTTCTATAAAACAATTTTATATCAAAGCTCTCTGCAATGGATTCAGAGTTATCAATTTTTGCCTGAAGTCTTCGTTTTCGGAGATGTCTGAAAATTCTGTTCTGGATAAATTTTAACTTTTCTAGCAAACGTTTTAGCACTTTCTATTAAGTTTAGAATTGCATTTTCTTGTTACTTTATTGAAATGAGGGATTTTCTATTAATAATATTTATTGCGTCTACAATGTTCAAGTCTTTTTTCTCTTTATCGCGTTTCTACAAGGTGCTTATAGTAACCGTTTTACTTTGGAGTAGTAGAAATATTGACCAGAAGTCCGATTTCTTGATGATATCCCTATGCCTTTTTGGAATCTTACTATAGCCCGTATAGACTAATGATCATCGAGTTTCTTAAGCAGTTTTACCTACAGGCGTTTTTACACGAAATTTTGAAAGAAGTAGCATCAACATCATCATCATAAGGTCGTCAGTCAGTAAGACTGGTTGGACACGTACCTCCACTCTTTCCTACCTCTACCCCTCCTAACTCATGTTTATGCCTCTAATATGTCTCTGACTAGACCTTCATGCCTGAGAAGGTGTCCTACCAACCTATCTCGCCTATTTTTTATTGACTCTCATAGAGTCCTCTGTTCTCCTATTCTTTCTAATACCTTTTCTACCCAATTGATCCTCATAATTCACCTATAACACCACATTTTGAAGGCTTCTAACCTTTTCTTTTCCTCCGCGCCCACTGTCCATGTTTCGCACCAGTACAACGCCGCGCTCCAAACATACACTTTTAACAATGTTTTTCGAATTTCTAAAGTAACCGTTCGCGAGCACAGAAGTGACTTCTTTTTATTAAAGGCGACCCGACCCTGCGCTATCCTCTGGTTTATATCCCTACTACTCCTTCCGTCCTGACTTATCTGACTTCCTAGATATCTAAAAGCAGTCCCTTCTTCTAATTTTTCGTCTTCTATCTTTATATTCACTCTTTCCCTACTTTTTCTTCCCTTGCATACAAGTATTTTAGTTTTACTTTTATTTAAAGAAGTATATTTTTAACATATTTCCTAATTAATAACAGATGTTGAAAAAGTCAACTGAGTAGATAATGGGAGCGGGGAGCGACCCCCGACATCCCCCCTTTGGCTACGGCTCTGTTCACAACTGCTCCCGCTAATGTGAAGAAATGCCTGTCTGAAGAGTTCGGGAAATCCGAATGAAACGTAGGAGAAACAAATATATTTCACCAACATCCTCATCTTTATTTCTGCCGTACATATTACTCAAAAATGTTGCTTAACAAGAAGCTAGCAAGAAATGTTATAAAATATCGAATATTTTCTAATGACTAATAAGACATTATTTGAGATCAACGTTTAGAAAAATTTGTACATAGACTGGAAGCACCCTGATTGACGTAATACTTCAATTTCTAATTTTTAATTATTTACCTACTAGACCGTTTCATTGCATACCCATTTACAGAACACAACTATTTTAACAGATCTAATTTATTAGAGTTTGAAAAAAAATAAATGTATTATTTTAAACTATATAGTCATGCTCAATAATTAAAGAAGAATATTTAATTCACTTTCGTTTACTAGATTGAACCAAAATGTGGTCTGTATTTCAGGAAATAATAGAAATTTCAATTTGCTGTAATGAACATAATTTCTCTTTCACAACATCGGTAAAGGAAGATACCTACAGTGTGGTCACATGTTTCGTAACTACAGTGACTACTATTACATAATACTCACACAGTACACAATGCAATTAACTGCCAATTAATTAAACACTTCCCTGCTATTAATAGTAAGTAGCCTACTTAAAGAATGCCTTTTTACCTATTAGGAATACCTACTCGTATAAAATTTTGCATATTTAATTCAACAGATAACGTGTAACGATGGATATGATTTCATGACAATTTTAATAATTGTACAAACAAACAGAATAGCTCAAAACCCCAACGCCAAAACACGACACTGTAGTTGTCCGAAGCACTTTTCGGTAACAAAGTTACCTTCTTCAGGGACTGAAGTTTACTTATATATATTTAGAATCATTTAATTAAATCTCTAAGAAAATATCAGTGCCNCTAATCTAGGTCTACCTCTACCCCTCCTAACTCATGTTTATGCCTCTAATATGTCTCTGACTAGACCTTCATGCCTGAGAAGGTGTCCTACCAACCTATCTCGCCTATTTTTTATTGACTCTCATAGAGTCCTCTGTTCTCCTATTCTTTCTAATACCTTTTCTACCCAATTGATCCTCATAATTCACCTATAACACCCCATTTTGAAGGCTTCTAACCTTTTCTTTTCCTCCGCGCCCACTGTCCATGTTTCGCACCCGTACAACGCCGCGCTCCAAACATACACTTTTAACAATGTTTTTCGAATTTCTAAAGTAACCGTTCGCGAGCACAGAAGTGACTTCTTTTTATTAAAGGCGACCCGACCCTGCGCTATCCTCTGGTTTATATCCCTACTACTCCTTCCGTCCTGACTTATCTGACTTCCTAGATATCTAAAAGCAGTCCCTTCTTCTAATTTTTCGTCTTCTATCTTTATATTCACTCTTTCCCTACTTTTTCTTCCCTTGCATACAAGTATTTTAGTTTTACTTTTATTTAAAGAAGTATATTTTTAACATATTTCCTAATTAATAACAGATGTTGAAAAAGTCAACTGAGTAGATAATGGGAGCGGGGAGCGACCCCCGACATCCCCCCTTTGGCTACGGCTCTGTTCACAACTGCTCCCGCTAATGTGAAGAAATGCCTGTCTGAAGAGTTCGGGAAATCCGAATGAAACGTAGGAGAAACAAATATATTTCACCAACATCCTCATCTTTATTTCTGCCGTACATATTACTCAAAAATGTTGCTTAACAAGAAGCTAGCAAGAAATGTTATAAAATATCGAATATTTTCTAATGACTAATAAGACATTATTTGAGATCAACGTTTAGAAAAATTTGTACATAGACTGGAAGCACCCTGATTGACGTAATACTTCAATTTCTAATTTTTAATTATTTACCTACTAGACCGTTTCATTGCATACCCATTTACAGAACACAACTATTTTAACAGATCTAATTTATTAGAGTTTGAAAAAAAATAAATGTATTATTTTAAACTATATTGTCATGCTCAATAATTAAAGAAGAATATTTAATTCACTTTCGTTTACTAGATTGAACCAAAATGTGGTCTGTATTTCAGGAAATAATAGAAATTTCAATTTGCTGTAATGAACATAATTTCTCTTTCACAACATCGGTAAAGGAAGATACCTACAGTGTGGTCACATGTTTCGTAACTACAGTGACTACTATTACATAATACTCACACAGTACACAATGCAATTAACTGCCAATTAATTAAACACTTCCCTGCTATTAATAGTAAGTAGCCTACTTAAAGAATGCCTTTTTACCTATTAGGAATACCTACTCGTATAAAATTTTGCATATTTAATTCAACAGATAACGTGTAACGATGGATATGATTTCATGACAATTTTAATAATTGTACAAACAAACAGAATAGCTCAAAACCCCAACGCCAAAACACGACACTGTAGTTGTCCGAAGCACTTTTCGGTAACAAAGTTACCTTCTTCAGGGACTGAAGTTTACTTATATATATTTAGAATCATTTAATTAAATCTCTAAGAAAATATCAGTGCCATTATTATACAAAAAGAAAAAAGTTTCCCATACGTTTATAGGTAGATTTATATACGTTAGTGTACTTTCTTTTGTTCTACAGGGTGTTCTACTAAAAATATTATTTCAATTTTATATAATTAAGCGCTTATTAATGAAATGTTATTTAGATTTCCCCGGTTATTATTAATTTCGTTAGTCATTTTAATTTTCTTACTTGGTCATTTCTAAAGAAGGTAAGAAACAACAAGGCCAGCAGCAACAAGGTCCAACTTTCATTTTTAATGTTGTTGGTTTTACTCTTCTTATTAATTCAGCTTCTCCACCACAGTATGCGACCAGGAGACAGAAAAGTTGGTACATTGCCGCCATGAAAGTACCTTGGGTAACAGCCTCCGCAAGTAAGTGCGATCGGGGTACTATGGTTGCGCAAAAAGTGGCTAATGCTACAACCTAGAATGTTAAAAGATTTTCTTTGCTTTGCAATAACCAACAAGTTAATGTTTTTAGAAATTTGGAAAAAAACAAGAACAGTTTTACCGCAAACAAAATACAAAAGGATGTAAACGCAAACATGTAGCAATCCATTAAATGTTTAAATCATACATTCTGATTTCATCACTAGATCGACCAATATACTCGGAAAAGAAAGCAAATACATTTGTCGTCAAATAAAGTGAAGCTAATGAGTAACGGTAACGAATCAGAAATAGATTTAAAGAGTTCAGACAGCAAAACTTTATTATGTTCTAAAACAAATTTAGTATCGCTGATTGTCAAAGGTAATTGGTTATCAGGATGCAATTTACATCGATTTTCAATGACAGTATCTTACATATCAGTCAATTATGTATCGGAAAACTTATCATAACATAATTATAACTTATAACTTATCAAAAGTCCTATCAATACATGAAATCGTGTGGACTAAATAATGTTCTAAAAATTCCATTCGTATCAGTTTAGTAGGCCTTACATGACACATACAAAGCAAAAAAAATTGTACAAAAATTATACAAAACCATGTAAATGTATTCTTCCTTTATCGCCTTTTTATTATAAATATTGTCATTCTTCAAACATGAACATTTATTTACTGTGTTATTTATACGTACATCTAAAAAAATATAAAAAAAATATATATNCCCGACCATTTTTATAAAAATATTTTTTTTATTAAAAATATAATAACAGAGTTATGGACTAAACCACATGGGTGGAACACATAGATTTACATTATTTTCTATCGTATTTTATAAATTTAGTTATAATCATGTATCTAGGTCGGCAGATATTTGTATTCATGCAAACAACCTTTTTATGATAAGCAATAAACAATTATAATCGTTAATTCCATTGCCTATTTAATTGAAACTGCAGCGGGTCGTTAAAGATGAATGCGTATGTTGGAAAATGTTGACTTGAACAGTGTCACAAGTGAATACCAATGACTTTTAAAGCCGAATATCATTTAAATTGTTGCAATAAAAAGGTCGTGCACGTCTTGAGTAACTTTTGAAGCAAGTGTTGTCACACGCTCCTGACCAATTTCTTGCCTAAGAATATTAAATTAAACTGGAGCAACAACTAATAAAAACAGACTAATGTAATTTTGGGTCTCTTAAAATCGAATAAGAAGCATTGCAATTTTACGATTCGCTTTTGGACATTACAAGTTTGCAATTTCTGAATGAAAGCTACTAATATGCTAATGACGATGTTAAAAATGCTGAAAGTGATGTGAAATTGTTGTTGGTATTTTCTTAATTTGGAAATTATTTACGAAATGGATTTTGAAACGTTAGCCTCCTTTTAAACTGCATTCTATCCTAAACACTATAACCGTATGTTAAATATTCTTAGTGATCGTTACCATTTCAGTTGATCCATTGTAGAATTTTTGAGAAATTGGTATTCAGAAAACAAAAGAACAAGTAGGTAATGCTTCGTGAAATTAAAATGGTTTTTATTTAACATCTTTATTAGCAGCTCTTTATCAAAATAAATACCTATAAAGTTATTTAAATAAAACCGATAAAATATTAACATTAACGAAAACGGTTCCAATGTTTTCCATTGAATAATATCGCCATTATTAACTGCAACATCCGAAATTCTATGAGAGTAGAGATGTGCAAAATGTTTTCTAAAAGTATTTAAATACAAAATGCAAATACGTTCTTGATTTGTTATTTCAAATGTAAAATACGAAATAGATTTCCCTTTTGTATTTTAAATGTTAAATGCAAAATACGTATTTTCAAAATACTTTTTTCAAATATATACTTTTTTGTAGTACCTATTTAAGTAATTTTATACATTTACTTCAGCAAAAAATATTTTTTAAGAAAACCTTGCAGGCATTTGCTCACTTTTTAAATACTGGAACTTTACTAGACTAATAGTAGTGTTTGCACTATTTCACCAGCTGCGAAGATTGATTGTGATTCATATTTTTTGTTTAAGAAAATGTAGAAAATTACTTAAATAGGTGCACACCACAAGGCAATTTCTTTACGACTTATTTATAATATTTTTTAATATAAAAGAAAATATTCTACTATTGTTCCCTATGATTATGTATTTATGAAATGCTTTAAAGCCATTACGTTTTCTCATAATGAGACCAATTAAAATACATAAAACCTGCAAAATAAACGAAACAATAAAGAAAAGGAACATTCAGCTTTACAAAAGTAAATTGTTTCGTTCTATCAACGATAAATAATCTTTAGAAGTACATAAAAGCAAATTGCTGCAATTGCGACAAACGCATTTATGCGCAACCTACTTAAAAATCTAAAAAGGAGGCGATTATTTTTTGATCGAATTTTCATTTTCAATTCAATAGTGAAATGTACAATCTTAAGAATAATAAATGAATTATGAAGTCACGCAAACAGTTGACGAACCTTTGGTAACGTCACGTATCTAATCTAATTTAATATATATATAAAAGAAAGTCGTTTTAGTTACACTATTTTTAATCAAGAACGGCTGAACCGATTTGGCTGAAAATTAGTGGGGAGGTAGCTTAGAACTAGGAGACGGACATAGGATAGTTTTTATATCGTTCCCGTGGAAAAACAAGTGGTATAAGATCATTTAATTAAATCTCTAAGAAAATATCAGTGCCATTATTATACAAAAAGAAAAAAGTTTCCCATACGTTTATAGGTAGATTTATATACGTTAGTGTACTTTCTTTTGTTCTACAGGGTGTTCTACTAAAAATATTATTTCAATTTTATATAATTAAGCGCTTATTAATGAAATGTTATTTAGATTTCCCCGGTTATTATTAATTTCGTTAGTCATTTTAATTTTCTTACTTGGTCATTTCTAAAGAAGGTAAGAAACAACGGTTCTGCACCTTAT